CACCCCCCCCCCCCCCCCAGCCCACTTACATCATCGCCAAGCCGTTCGGGGGGACGCACGCTGGAGCACAACAAAAAAAAACGGTAAGGCAAGGCCTCGCTCGGGGCACGCCTACCGCCAGCCCCTCTCGCAAGCATCCGATCCGTCCGTTCGATGCACAATGCAAACATGCTTTGGTCGAGACGCCGTCTGAGCCAACCAACAGGAAAGTGGGATAGAATAGACGCACGGTCATGTAAAAACTAATGGCCTGCCTGCCTATGGTAGGTGCCCCCGCATTTACCCATCTGTGTGCATGCTTGGTGTCATGTTGACAGCCTCTCCGAGTCGAGCTTGCGAGTCTAGGCGGGTAGACCAGCAGGGTCCGAGAGAGCTGTGCTGACACCAATGAGGTAATGGGCCGGGCGTTTTCGCCCTATGCGCCCTTAGTATCACCCTAGTGACCTACCGAGGTATCAGGTACCCACCTAGCTACATAGACGGGAACTATTATACGATTCTAGTAGCCTCATTGGCGCATCACCACCTAACCACGACACCATAGCTGTATATCATGCCTCAACTTTCCTCCACAATGAATACGACCTACCCATCATCTATACACACAGGCAGGGCAGGCGCCTTCAAAGGGCCGAATCCATGATCGCCTCCAAGGCGGCCGCTAGCTCGTCCTCGTCGTACCTCGGCACAGCGGCGCCAGAGCCGCCACCGGTACGAACCAGCCTGCCCCTAACTTTTAGGCAGCTGATGCCCAGGGCCGCGAGCGCTGCCTCGTCCACCACCGGCGCCAGCTCCACGCGGGGGCCGTCGCCACCAGCCTTGAGGTGTTGTTGGTGGCCCCCGCCCTCACCCCTGTCCAGGTACACCAGATGCGTGACGTAACGCCGGATCTCGTCGTCGGCCACGTCGGCCGTGGACATGACGGCCGCCTGTAGGCTGCTGGCCGCTGCGCACGCCAGCGCCTTGACGAAGTCGACCGCGTCCATGGGGTCCGACCGCGGGCCAGTCTCGCGGTCCACAGTGGCGTTGAGGATCAGGACCTTCCTGCGCGCCGCCGCCGTCGTCACCGCCACCTCGCCGCTGCCGCCGTCTCTTCCCCCGCCGGCGGCGTCCCCCGCGATGGCGGCCCCGACACCGCGCAGGATGAGGTTGGGGATGATGCTGGTGTAGAGGCTGCCGATGCTATAGACGACCGTGTCGCACGCCCGCAGCGCCGCCAGCGCCTTTGGGTTCGCCACGGGCCAGATCTCGTGCCCGTAGGGGTTGATGTACCACACGCGCCCGATGCGCGCCGGCAGGTCCTCCTCGTCGTCCTTGCTGAAGCTGATGTTGGGCGACCGCAGCGCCGACAGCGACCCGGGCAGCGTCGCGTCCTCGGCCGCAATCGCCGCCGCCGCCGCCCCTCCCCCAAACGCCGTCCCGACGCCCGAGGCACCCCCGGCGTCTGGCACGGCCGTCGGCTCCGAGGGGTGCGATATCGCCACCTGCCCGGTCAGCGTCGTGCCGTCCTCGAGGGAGGCCGCGATGTGGTGCGTAAAGTTGGAGTTGATGGAGGGCAGCACCGAGATTGACGTCGGGATGCGGCATATTATGGACAAGAGGTATATCGCCGCCTCGAACGAGCCCGAGAAGATGCGTGCCCTGTGCCAGTCGTCGAGTGTGTGTAAGTGTCCTGAAACTGTGCGCGTAAGGAGCCCCCCATCGACACCCGCGACACCGAGTAAAAAAAAAAAATCTCACCCGGTGAGGAACATGTTCCCAACGCTGGCCTTGGAAAAGTTGAACAGTGACGTCGGCCTGGAGCGCTTGACGATCTCCAGGTTCAGCGTGTTCAGCACCGACCGGATGAGCTCCCGCTTGGGGCTCGAGACGAAGCTCCACAGGAGATGGCTCCCCTCCACGATCTCGAGCCATTCGGCCTTGGCCTGAGTCGGGTCCGCCGACAGTCTATGCTCAAACAGGGCTCGGAGCGCCGTGTTTTCCTCGTCTCCATTGTCGGTCTGGCTGGGGATCAGCCGTACCAGGCGACCTGTCGGAATCCGCGCGGACACGTGGGGGTCAGATGGCCTGCACATATATCACTTGCTGATCGAGAAATCGTCTGATGCCCGCATGTGAAGACCGTTTTGGGTTGGCATCAGGGGCCACGGCTGGGGGAGGGGACACTTACTCCGTATGTCGCCCACGCCTTAGTCCTCATGCATTCTGGTCAGCGGCCTATAAATGACAATGATTTGGGCTATTTACCTTCTGGGGTAGGTACTTCTTCTTCTTCTTCTACTCACTTGGGCCTCCAAACACACGGATGAGCTCCGAGGAGCTTCCGCCGTTGTCGCTGATGGGGATGACATAGCTGAGCGGACAGCTTCGCTTTTGGATGATGAGGTTGAAGACGTCCACCAGAAAATTGGCGGCGGTTCCGCCCGAGATCACCACGATGCCGCCAGGCTTGGACGTGTTATCTTCCATGATCGGCCAGTGAGAAATCGCGCCGAGTGTCCGCGGGTGTGTTTATGATGCCAGTTGGATGATGAGTGGGTTTTGCCTGCCTGGATAGGTGTCTTTGCATCACCCCCTACAGCTAGCGGATGACTCGAGAGAGGAAGCGCCAGGTGGAACCGAGCTCTTCCTATGCTCAATTAAACAGATGGGTAGGTCGATACCAGATACAAGTGAATTATGTTGGTAGATGACCATTGGTTAAGTTGTAAGTCGAAGTGAGCCTGGCCGCGCTGCCCACTCTCGGACGATGGATTCTGGATCCTGACAGGCGGCCCCCGTCTGGGGCTGTGAGACCAGCTCAACCTCGATTTCCAGCATCAGTGCTGCACGTGTCCAGTTCTCGAGAACCCTGGAAAACGACCAGACATCCGAAATTACCGTCTCCACGATGACTTCCAGGCATCTTTCAAATGCGATAAATCATAAAACGCCCCCGAGGGTTTCATCTCGTCATCTACCGTGTATGCCCCTGTTTTTCGAGATTAGAAGAGTTCATAAGGGTCAATTCAACAACAGTGTAGGAACTGTTCATGTGTACGCATCTCGGAAATTTACGGGAATACCGACCACGACAGAATTAAAAGATCAAGCAGATGATAGGCTTCAGCCAGATATCTTTGGTACTGGTACTGAGGGGACATATTTGGGGCGGTGCGACTGGGCCTAAACTTATAAACATGAATTTAGAACTAAGTGGTGGATGTTAAGAATATGAAATGAGAAGTGCCGCCCAAAAGGAGAAAATTAAAGAATAAAGATTGTGCAAAAAGAGCAGGCAGCAAAACAGGTGCGCAAAGGAGATGTCGACGTCGACCATGAGTGATAACGTTGTGTGCATTGGGTCGGGGGGATGCAAAACAGCCCTGCCCGACTGTTGGACACCCCCGAAGCCCCTGCCTGGGTCGAAAAGAAAAGCGTCTAGAATGGATTAAGCTATCGTCAAGCCGCAGGAAGAAGAGTTAGAGATGGCGATATTTCAGGTTGCGTTGCTCCTGGTATTCGAAGTCCCCCCTACCCGCATCTCTGGCCGTTGGTTCAGGCATACTCCCCTCCTTTCATCTAATGCACTGGACCGAAACAAGAGGCAAACTTTTCAATGTCCTGACACTCCATCCCTCGTCGGCATTTCTCCTAGTTCCAAAAGACATGTGCAACGCTGCAATGAAAGAAGCCCTAATCGTCGCAGCGCACAACAGTACTCCGCCCAAGTCGAAAGATATGGGGCGAAAGCACAGAGATTGAACGAGGGAGCAAATTGAAAAAAAAAATGATAGACAGACAAAGGGTACCAAAAAAAAAAACCGGACGACTCCCGAGCGAGAACCAAACAAACATAAAGGAGACAAATCAATGACTAGCCATTCCGGACCACCATCCATATCATGAGAACCAAAGCCAACCCACCGAGCCTAGGTAGAGACCAGGAGACTAAGAAACAGAAAACCGAGGCAGGAACTCCTCGACGAGTAATGCATGAGAGGAAGCAGACACATGGAGCGGTCCACCGGTTTTAGAAGCCACGCGCGGCGCAGAGGAGACAATACAAGCGAGTGGGAGAATAGGATAACGGACGCCGGCGGGCAGAAAGAATCAAGGTAGATGCATGGGGACGTGGGCGGCTGAATTAAAAATGTGAGTATATAGAATATGGGCCGTGCAAAGCAACAGCAATATTCTGGCGCCACCGGCGACCTAGAACTACTGATGGTAGTACATCATGCCAGCAGGGCCTGGAGGGTAGTAGAATCCGTCAGGGCTTGGTGCCATCATTGCAGGCATACCAACAGGAACAAACGGCTGACCGCCGTATGATGGATACCCAGAGACGGCGGGTAGCTGGGAGGCGTCGTAAAAGTAAAAGGTTCCGTTGATCTCCTGCGAGATCAAGTTGGGGTTGCCAGGCGCCGCACCGTTGGGGTGTGGCACAGCCCCGACGTCACCATGGCCCGGTTGACCCATGCCATGGGGTTGCTGGTGGGCCTGTGGCGGTGGCTGGGCGCCAGGAACGAATACGGGCGCTGCCGCAGAGGGCGGGATAGCCCCGCCGTAGTTGGGTGCGGGAGGGTAGAAGTATCCAGGCTGCGGCTGCATCATGGGATACGGCGGCTGCCCGTAGAAGCCCTGCTGTTGTGGTTGCGGCTGTTGTGAGTAAACATTGGGCTGGAAGGGCGCCGCGTGGATGGCGCGCTCCGGGATCTGCGACAGTGGTGTTCCAGTCGAGTGCTGGGACGGGTACGACGGATGTCTGTGGTGCGAGTCCTGGCCCAGGTTGTTCGAGACCTGCACAGGGACCTGCTGGTGGAAGGCCTGCTGGTATGGCTGCGGCGGGTTCAGAGACATGGTAGGAGACTCGATCGACTCCACCGAGACGGCCTTCTGAGGGCGCGGCTGGTGCATCGGCAGAGTGGCAGGGCGGCTTTCTTGGAAGTTGGGCTTCTGCGGCAGGGGGTGAACCTGAGGTTGGGGGAGGTCGTTGATAGAGGTCTCCCCGGCGACTACCGATCCATCACCCTCGGCATAAACCGCAGGGGCGACGGCATCCACGGGAGGGATTGGCCCCTGGGGCGACAGCTGCTGCTCAAAGGGAACAGTCGGGGGAAGGCGGACCACTGGCTGCCTCGAGGTGTCAAGAGGAAGAGGGGGCCTCGATATGGTGGAACCGGTGGGCGAGATTATGTAGTCGCGGCCCATGTCGTGCGTAATGGATGAGCGCCTGCTCATGGCGATGCTAGGCGAGTACATGCTGCCGTAGAAGCTGCCACCGCCACCATATATACTCGTCCGCCTCGAGAAGCCGCCGACGGAGCCGAAGACCGACCTCGGCTTACCCCGCATGCGTTGCTGGTTCGGCCGCATCGCCCTAGGTATGAAGATGAAAGATCTGTCGATGGCAGGGAAGATGTAGCGCGGTGGGAAGTCAGGTAGGGAGATCCGGACAGGCTTATCGCGACGGAGGGGGGGCCGGTGGTCGGGCAGCTTGGTGTATTGCTTCATGGCGACGCCCGAGAAAACGAGAGGCTCCTTCATGGGCGGCAAGAAGACGCGGACTTGAGCATTTCCGATATGCCTTTCGGTCGATAGTGTTCGGTTGATCGGCTGTGGGTTGGGCTGGCGACGAGGGATAGAGTTGTTCCCGTTGAGGGGCCCCTCGCCGTTGTTGAATACGTACTGCGTATGGCGGGGATTAGAGGTGGCCATGGGCTCGGTTGCCACGGCTTCGTGCATATCGTGCGCCCAAGGGGCGTTGGTCGTAGGGTCCGAGACATTACCCATCTGCTGTCCGGGGTTGACGAAGGGGATGTGGCCTTGGCCCTGGTTTATGAAGCCGCCGCGACCCCGGCCTCCTCGGCCGCCACCTCTGGAGAAGGGACGGAAGCCGTTGGCGGACGGACCGGCTCCGCGGTGATCATGCATGAAGAAAGCCCCCCTGTTGGGTACAAAGGCGGGGTCCTCATCCCGCTTCCTCCGGTACTCCTCATGCTCTCTGCGGCGGCGTTCGTAAGGGGGCTCCGGGTGTGTGTTTTGCGAAGGAGGCCTCGAGGCCGAGCTCACGACGATTGGAGCTGAAGACTTGGTAGGAGGCGTGTGCAGATCGTCGAAACGCATCTCTTGCGCCGGTGCGGTGCTGTCATTGAGTGACAGCCCGTTCAGCATGATCTCGGTATCGGTGACGGTGGCCCGAGCAGTCTTGTCCGCCAGCTCGGATGGTTTTCCGCGGCCTTGGCGGGCCATGCCATTCCCCACCGCCTTCCGGGCATTGGGCGAGGTGGGCGAAGCCTCATCAACGTTGCTTGTGTCACTGTCATCGGCGGCGCCGTGGTCCTCGGTGACCACAGACCCTTCCGTCAGGGAGTCGTCATCGAGCAGGTCAAGGGCTTCGGGGCCGCCCTCGTCTTCTCCCTCATCCTCGACGCGCCTGCGGTGGCCTGGGAGTCTTCTGCGCCGGGGAGGAGCAGCCATTATGCCGGTGGTGGCTCGTGGCAGAGGGAGCGCAGCCCAGACGTGCGGTGATGAGTCTGCGTTTACTCCAAGGTCATGCGGTGGCGATGCGGGCGATAGCTGTCGAGCTAGGGGTTCCTGGAGGGGATGAAGAGTAGCAACCGCCCTGCGGTCTGGGACGGTGTGAGGGAGATGGCGGGAAACAAAAACAGGAGAAGCTCGTGGGTGACAACAAATACAGTGGAATTAAAGACGCAGGGCGGCAGCTGCCGGAGGCAGTGTGGCAAAGAAAAAGAGAGCAAGAAAAAAATAGCAACCGAAGAGAGAGAGGAGCCAGGGAGCCAGGCGAAACGAAGGAAATACGATGGGGAAGCCAGACTAGCAAAAGCCTTGCTTGCACTCCGCAGCGAGAAACCAGGAGCCGGAAACCCTCGTGGTTGACGTCGACGTCCAAATGGCAGACGACGGGAGGATGTGGGCGGCGTGGCGTAGTGGTGCGGAGGATGATTTTTGATGGGATTTATGTGATCGATGGTTTTGGGGTTGGGACTGGCGAGCCAGCACAGCCAAGATGGGCCCGGGTCGGCTTGGTGCATGTGCGGTGGCAGGCAGTTGGCGGCTGCTGGAGTTTACTTCGCTGCGCACGGAGTTATGGGGCCAGGCTCGCACCACCCGCGCCGCCAGCAAAGCATCGAGTCGCCTAGAGAGGTCAACTAGTACCTTCTTTGAGCTGGCCCAGGTACATCCCTCACGTAATGCAAGCAGCTGGAGCTCTCTATCCGACCGAGCAGCTCTTGGTCATTTTGCCATGGAATGACGATGTGTTTATTCCCCATTTTGCCCCCAACGTCTTCCCTCTCACACCCTTGCGCTACCCGTTCCAGTCCATCGCCCACAATGCCTCGTCCTCGCGGCCCTGTTGGGTAGCAGGCGGGCCGATCAGGTATTGATGTGGTGGATGGGTCGAGATCAATGGCGGACTCGAGGAGCTTGCCCACCAAAGTACCGACTGGGCTGTCTAGATGTACCTCCACTTCAAGATGGCCGATGGCCCATCCACGTCGTACCCGACGTCGGTAGATCTCCAATGTGGCAATCCACGCAACGCAAAATGGCCAGGTGCAGAGCAATAAGGAATGGATATGCATAAAAATAAAGAGAGAAAGCCAGGCTCTCAAATGGCCGCCAACTGCAGCTACGATAGGGAACTCACATATGCTTCCGTCCCTCGTGTCTGCTCTTTGTCATATAATCGATAGGTCCTTCGTGGCTTTTGACGTTGTACTTGGGTAGGAAACGACTTGCTGCAGTGGGCACCACCCACCAGCAGCCGTCCGTTTCGCAAGCCGAGCCGGTGAGTCCAGACGGCTCGCTCAACAAGCATGCCACTCCGACTCCAGAGTCCAGACGGTCCAAGCCTCCAGATCCATGTGCTGTCCTGGGCCACCCCTGTCGGCAACTGGGGCCCTCCCCTGCCAGCCAACTCACTGCGCACCCATCACGAGGTTCGGTTTGGCCCAGGGGCCTCATTGCCCGAGCATCGGAGCATGGCTGAAATGTGATGCCACTGACCGGCCAGTCAGCAGGTTTCCCCAGCGTCCAAAAGCCGCCTAGAGGAAAACATATCGGCAGAGCTCGGTGTGCCGAGCATGACCTCGAACACAGGATTCCCGAAAAGTTGTGTGGGCAAACAAGGTGATCCCGGATGCGGGTGCGACTGGGCATGTTTTCGGCCGGAGTAGAATGCTCTTGTCCCGTCGCTATTATCCCTGTATAAGAATGAGGTATGTGCCTGAACCTTGCGTCAATTTCAATACGCACGAGGGAGAGGCTGCCATGCCTCGGGGCTTGGTCGGGAATGCCAAGGTCGTCGGCTAACGGCAGAGATGCAACTCAGTAGGCGGCCCTGGATAGCTGTGTAGGTAAGTGCAGGCATCCATCAACTCGGATTGTGCTTCAATGGAAGCTTCTAGGTGCCAGGCAGGCTGGGTGCTTGTGATGACCTGCAGACCTCTGTGGGCCGCTGCAGGTTGATGGAGCTATTCCACCGAACATAGGCTTGGGTATGCGGTTGCACACCATGAATCAGCACAGGCTAGGTGGCCGAGTGGTTAAGGCGTATGTTTCAAGAGAGATTCTTCTCTTCCCCACCAGGGAAAACACATATCTCGAAAGAGTCATCAGTTCGAATCTGGTCCTAGTCAATCGTGATTGTTTTTTGCATGTGCCCTCATTTGCCCGTTTTTTATATTTATTCTCACCACGGCCCCTTTTTTCCCTGTGGAATCTTTGTATCCCATCATAATTTCGATTCCATCTCCTTCATTATTGGAATATCACGATGAGTGGCTTTTGGGCTTGGCCCTTTTTCCATTGACCGCATCTCGCGCAACTTCACGGTGGTGCGTCATGGTCCCGCACTCATGCTGTCATGGGCCGCATATCAACAAGCAGCCTACCTGCCTTTCGATGTAAAAAATGATTCGACTAGATGGCATCAACATTTCTGATGCATGGCAGCCTCGCTTGGTTCGTTGGCTGGCACAGCGTTGGACATATCCCATGATCACAACCAAATGTCAGCCCCGTTGGCCAGTACCTGCCCCTTTTCATCCCCCAGATCACAGGCCAAGGCCTCGCGCCAATCTCATCACAATGCGAACGTCCAGCATACTGGAATTTCTTGCAAAACATGTTCGCAAACCTACTGCCCTTCTGTCATGTTGTTATATCACACACGCCTCTAAGTGCACCCCGGCGCGTTCCCCATAACAAAATGAGCCCAAACCAAGTACCAGGCAGACGCCCTGATCCAAACCCCTGAATCTCCTGCTGCTACTGGCCAGATCGGGGGACACACCCGAATCGACAATTGCCATAGTCCCAGATCTTCGGGTGGGCAAAGGATGGAACGTGTTAGTTATCAGCCGCGTGGCTTGCAAGATGCTGGTGGATTGGGGGGCGTACGTACCGCATGAACAGATCTCAGGAACGGCAGCCCCAGGATATCACGGGCATTGTCGCCGCGCGACTGGAGAGCGCCGTACCACTGGTCAGGCCCAGCCTCGCAGACGTCGTCGCCGACCAGGATCAGAGGGCTGCTGGTGTCCGCGACCGCCATGTTTCCCGCCCGCGAGAGCGCCGACCCACGGACATGGGCTTCCTCGGACGGGAAAGCCCAGTTTTCTTTTTCGTTGTTAACTTTAGCCCATGATATACCCCCCCGCCTCTTCGGCAGCTTTCAGGGTTTCCTGGTCAATGTGCCCAAATGTGCAGAAGGCCTCATCCTCCTTGTCCCCCGACCTGTCAAAGACGGCCGTGAAGAGCTGCGCATCTTTTGGGAGCTCCGAGCGTGACATCAGGTTTGTGATGAGCGTATCTTGCGGGTCCGGCACACCATTCTCCGTAATCGTCTTCGTTTGGGGGATGGAGAGTCCGAGGCAGCCATCGGCACCCCTCGGGGCTGGGTGTCCTTCGATATGCATTGCCAGCTGGATGACTTGCTCCTTGACCCGGAGGCCACCGATAGAGACTTGGCCGACACCAGTCCCTCCAGAGGCGGAACTACCGTCGCCTCCCTTAGCCATCCATGACGAGTTCATGCTGCGATAGCTTGTGGATCTCTCGGCACCGAACGATCCAGGGCTGTCCGATCCAAGGTTCTGGCTGGGGGCGCATACCTGTCGACACGGGACCGGTAGCTGCCGTTAGAGGCCGTGATTTCACACGCGGGCTAGCTGATACAGTAAGTGAATGGGCATAAGCTTACCCACAGCTCGGACGAGCTAGTGTTGAACTCTAGCTTGAGCTTCTGTGCCGGGGTTCCGACTTCGACTTCGCAGAGATACACGGCGTCGCTGCACTGGTCGTCTGGCGTGATTTGCTTGACTGAGCCACCTCCGGCTCCCTCCCCCTTCATCAAACCTCGTTCCATACGCACCCGCCCTCCCGCAGCCCCGGGAACGTTCGCCAAGCCTCGCTGATGCATTCGGTTCCTGTAGCAGTATGGTCCAGGCTTGGTGGGCTTGAACCCATGGCGAGCCATCAAGGAGACGTATATCTTGGTCCCGCTTGGATGATAGGTGGGGTTCCGGAGGAGCGCGACTCTGGAGAGCCCGAGGTGCTCCTTGGTTTCGGCGTGGTCCTCGGCCATTTTTTCCACTTTCTCTCTAAATTCTGAAGTTCAGGAACTGCAAATGAATCCAGCAAGAATGTGTGCTTAGAGCCTGCAAACAACATGTGCAAACAGGAGCTGGAGGAAGTGACTGTTCTGTAGAAGCGAAGCACTGCTTGAAAACGGCCTTTATATATCTGTTGGTCGTCTAAACGTCGGTCGGATGCGTCAAACCTGAAGTAACATATGCCACCAGGGGAGTCGAGGAACATGCAACCCGCGCAGAAAGGCCAGTGCTCACTCGGACGAGAAACACCGATTTAATAGGAAACCTGTAAGATTCGGCTGCACCTGCATCATAGAGAAGTGTCGCCGTAGGAGAGGCTTAGGCAATGGGGTGCACGCCCACCAAAAAAAAGGCAGTTGCTTTTAAGAATAGGAATAGGACTAGGTATAAAAAAAGGAATAAAAACAACAATAAAAACAGGAATACTAGTGGGAATAATAGTAGGAATATAAAAACAAGAATAGGAAAGCTCACAGCACTCACTAGCAATCTTAATCTTTAGGACGTGCTATACAACTGCCACCTTTTTTGTAATGGGCGTGGGGTGCTCCATGCTCGGCATCGCTGTAATGCGTGCGGAGTCCTCAATACTGTCTCAACTTTGGGGCGCCTAGGATTTGACGGAATGAAGAATCCCGGGCTGTTTCACTGTGCGCACCGTATAACGCACGTCACGCTAGTCCTGATAACATGGCATGGATACAGTCTGGCAGAATGGGACCGAGTCGCCTCTCTTCCTAGGTCGCAAGAGATATTCTTCCAAACATGAATCCCCTGACGCCGTTGCTAATCCAGCACTCTTCTCCCTCGATCAAGGTTGAAGCGTTGATGGCCTCTTCAACACAGAGGCCCCTTGTAGCAAGTATCGTGAGATTGTCAGTCGGCTTCGGCGGCGAGATGTATTTCGGTCTGGGTGGGCTGAGAATACCTTGCTAGCGACCATCTCCGGGTCGTTCCGTCCTGTCCGCCGCTCCCCTTATCAGGACTGAACTTGGGTGTAACAGGCGGCGTCACCCATCGGCCACCTCTCCATAGATACGGTGTGGTCAGGCTTCCCTCCATGATATTCCCGTTGGCCGCGTTCACGAGAAGGACCTCTTTCTCGGGCATCGCGATGCCCGCTCGTAGTCTTGCAGCGTCGTACATGTCGCGCTTGGTGGTTTTATAGTGTGTGTATTCTGACTGGGCCGTTTGTTCTAGGTCGGCTACGACTGTATAAACGGGCTCTTTTGCGGGCGCGCCATCGGAGCCTGGGCCAGCGGCCCCGGAGCTCTCTGATGGAGGAGGAAGCAGCGTGGGGAAGAGATTCGCCAGAAGAACTTCTGACACTGGATTTGCCTCGTACCCGAACTGCCCTTCCTTGGATAAGGTCACCTTGACCCTGAGGGGACGGTCGCCAAGTTCGGGGAGACCCATGATGAAGGCTTCTAACCTCTCCAAGCCCTCTTCGCCAGCAATAGCATTGACAGCACGGGCCCAGCCCCAGTGAGTTGCAGCCCTCAGCATGCGGTCTCGGTGGAAATCCAGCATGTACAAGGGCGAGGGCTTTGAGAAGTTCCAGCCGCCATTGTCTCCACAGCCATGGAAGCTTGGGACGGGCATCAGGCGAGGGTCATAACGCAATGAGGTGAATAGCTCGAACCTCTGGTCTGCCATTATTGCAAGCTCGCGGAGTCCCTGAAGCCTCAGAATCAGGAGGGGGATTGGGAATATAATTGCTTATGGGGATAGATGGAAGATCCAGGCAGGTGCCGTAGGTACCGTATCTGTGTACCTAGCACGCCCAGAAACACATGTGGTTCCCTTGTTGAAAGCCACCATGATTTTCCCCAGGGCCGGGCGGCGGCAATTGGAGGCTTGCTAGCGGGAGGTGTTGGCCCATACGTCAGTTTTCAACTAATGAGGGGCCGTGACGACGATTGGGAGCTGATGATTGGGCGGCAGCCGTCGGATACCCCACCCATCTACCTTGCTTAGGCTAGTGGTAGCTTTGCGGATTTTTTCGCGTGGTTCGGCCATGGCGCAGCAGACTCTGGGCTGGGCTGAGGCGATTTTGCAGTTTACGATTACGTGCCTCATCAAGCTGCCTCGACACGGAATCTAGCCCGCCTTCATCTCTGGCAGCTTTTGCGACGGAGCGTACTCGCCCTCCTCGCCCTCCAGTCCCTCGTCACGCCACCCGCCGGGCTGTCCTAATTGACCATCGACCTGGGCCATTGTCGCTGCGATTTACGGCTAATTCCTTTAATTCTTTGGTGCCACCATGTCCAGCCAATTCCCCTCGATCCCGCCCGCGAATCCCACGCCAGTCGCCGCGATCCCTACCGACTCGTCGCTATGGGACAGGATATCAACATGGGCTTCTGACAACAAAGCCGTCGTCTACACCATTGCCGGAGTGGCCGTGGTTGTGACTGGTGCTGGCGTCGTCTACTACGTTAATGGCTCGGTGCGTCCCTCCCTGGCTGTCCCTGCGCTGCAGGAGCGGCCCCGACTCTTGCCGCCTCCTCGGACACATGCTTGCTTGTGCAAGAGGCATGCGCCCAGCGCTTTGAACATGTTTCGCTAACTCTCCCGCGCTGTGCACCCAGGGATCCAAGAGCGACTCACCCCCAAGGCTAAGCAAGAAGGAGCGCCGGAAACGAAAGGAGGCCGAGAGGAAAGCGGACGCTGCCGAAAAGGGGTCGTCAGATTTCAAGGGCTTGGATGGCAAAAAGACATCTGGCCTGTCCGACCCGAAAGCCGCTTCCGTCGCCAGCAGCGACGACGACTTTCTCGATATAACCGAGGAGACGATCGAGACACTCTCGCCGGACGAGCGCAAGCAGCGCGCCGCTAAGTTGAAGGAGGCGGGCAACAAGTCCTACGGCGCCCGTGACTATGCCAAGGCTATCGATCTTTACACCAAGGCGCTCATGTGCACGCCGAATCCCGTCTACTACTCCAACCGCGCTGCGTGCTACAGCGCCCAGAAGGACTGGGAGAAGGTGGTCGAGGACACGACGGCTGCTATCACCCTTGATCCCGACTACGTCAAGGCCCTCAACAGGCGAGCGGCCGCTTACGAGAACCTAGAAAAGTACAGCGAGTCCCTGCTCGACTACACTGCCAGCTGCATTATCGACAGTTTCAAGAACGACTCGAGTGCCCAAGCTGTCGAGCGCTTGCTGAAGAAGTTTGCCGAGTCCAAGGCGAAGGAAATCATGGCCACCAAAGAGCCCAAGCTCCCGAGCCCGACCTTTATTGGAAACTACCTTCAAAGCTTCAGGGCGAAGCCCCGTCCCGCCGGCCTGGAGGACACGGTCGACCTTGCCGAGGACACGGGCAAGGGGCAACTCCAGCGTGGTCTCGCGGAGCTGGACAAGAAGACCGGAGATAGGTACGAAGCTGCCTCGGCCGCCTTCGACAAGGCATTGGAGCTCGGCGACCTAGGAGAGTATGAGGCGCTTGCATATAACATGCGCGGTACCTTCAAGTGCCTACGCGGCAAGCACGAGGAGGCATTGGCCGACCTGACCAAATGTGTTGAGCTGGACCCGACCATGACCCAGGCGTACATCAAGCGGGCCAGCATGTACTTGGAGCTCGGTAAGTTTATCCCCCCTTCTCCGGCATGAAACTGGTTCAGCAACCTAACCCCTGGTATAGGTAGGACGGGCGAGGCCGAGGCCGATTTCGAGACAGCGCTGGAGCATGACGAGAGCGACCCCGACATCTTCTACCACAGGGCGCAAACCCATTTCATCAAGGGCGAGCTACCCGAGGCGGCCAAGGACTACCAGAAGTCCATCGACTTGGACCGCGACTTCATATTTTCTCACATCCAGCTCGGCGTCACGCAATACAAGATGGGGTCCATCGCATCCTCCATGGCCACGTTCCGTCGCTGCGTCAAGAACTTCGAGAAGGTCCCGGAGGTTTACAACTACTTTGGAGAGCTCCTTATGGACCAGAACCGCTTCCAGGACGCCGTAGAGAAGTTTGACACGGCCATCGAGCTGGAGAAGTCAGCGCGGCCCACCGACATGAACGTGCTACCCCTGATCAACAAGGCTCTCACTCTCTTCCAATGGAAGCAAGATTTCAACGAGGCAGAGAAGCTTTGCGAGAAGGCACTGATTAGTATGAAACCCCTCGAGCCATTTTGTTGGTCTGATACAGAAGAGCTTGGTTGGCTAACAGAGAATCAAGTTGATCCCGAGTGTGACATCGCAGTCGCCACCATGGCCCAGCTCCAGTTGCAGCAGGGCAAGGTAGTCGAGGCCCTCAAGCAGTTCGAGCGTGCTGCCGAGCTTGCCCGGACAGAGGGTGAGCTGGTCAACGCGCTGTCGTACGCAGAAGCCACCAGGACCCAAATCACGGTCCAGGAGAAGTACCCCAAGCTAGCGGCCCGCCTGCAAGGTATGGGCCCTGGGGCGATGGGTATGGCGGCCGCGTAGTTTGACTGCTAGGCGAGTGGCGAGAGTTACGTAAAGCAGAGCCGGTGACGAGTCTGCCGTGGGCGTTTTGATGAATAGGCGATGATGTCTGTACGAGTTATATATCGGCTTTAAAAGCTGGCTAGCCAAGCCGCTCTGTCATTAATGGTTCATTGGGTCGTGACGGAAGCGGGTATCAAAAATGGGGGGCGCACTTTACTATTTTTCTTCCTGTTTTTCTTTTGTGCCTTTTGGCTGTCCCTGTCCCGCTGCCGCTGCTGGAAGTCGTCGGGGGATGGCCGTCTATGGGGCTCATGCGTCGGGGAGGGGCATCAGACCACCTCGTTGGTCGTGGCTACGTACCTATGCCGTTGTCGGAGCAGACGACAGAGGTCGTTATTGGGGGGCGGGTCGACCCGAGTCCTCGCTCCAACGGCGACCGCAAAACAGCGAAGGAGAAGAGAAGAAAGGCCCATCCCGTCCAGAGCTGTTGGTTTTTTTTTTTGGTTTCTTTCCGCTTTTTGCCTGCCATCTATCTGTTGCGGCTTGAGCTTTGGGAACACGGAAAGCCGGGCCATGTGTACATATAGGAATTTCTTCACTCCAACTCACACTGACGATCTAACGATCACCTCACCTGCAGCTAGGCCGCTGATTGTGATTCCTTGCTCGCCTCTGCCTGTGATGTGGGAGGCGGGTTCTCTCCGCATTTTGACACTCCACCGTGGATATGTTGCCCCTCATCAAGTCACCATGTGGAAAATAGGGAGGGCGGCGCAGATGCGTTCACGATGGTCGTAGTAAGAAGCAAGTGCAAACAGAAAACAGAACTCTTTTTTGTTGATAATCTGCATGTGTTCAAGCAAAAACACCTTTCCGATTCGACAGGATAATGAAAAGAAACGGCTCGAAAATATACAGCGAATCCTGTTGTCCGAATAGGCAAGCCTGGGGCCCTTTGGTTGTCGCCTTGTTGAATCCTGAAAACAAGAATTAGTTAATAATAATACCCGATGAAACGCAACACGGCCGTTGCTCTCATCCATTATCCCTCGTAAGCCATCTCATATTGCCGTAAATGAAGCGTCAAAAAAAATGATGCGGTGACATCGCCTAAACAGTGTTTAGCGAGGCTGGTTCAGCCCAGGCAAAGCGACAGAAAACGCGAGGTCGCGAGGGGAACCCATGCTATCCCATCAAGTCACTGCCGTGCAAGGTCATCGCCATCCCGCGCGTGCTGCCGCTAGAGAACCCCTGGACCACAAAAAGATCCGTGCTATTGCTCATAGAGCGACAGCCCAGCATCATAAAGTCATCAGGTTTTGCGCATGTCTGGCACTTCTAACAGGCGGCTGGGGGTGGGGGGGGGGGGGGGGGGGGGGGTCGGGGGTCGGGGGTCGGGGGTACCGGGGGTACCGGGTACCGGGTACGGG